ACATCGAGTAATCTAGGTAGGATAAAGAGAGGCTTAACCAAGATATTGAATCATCGAGGCAAGTAAGAATGGGGGAAATAAGTGGTTCTTAATTGTGGTATCACGTTACCAGGGCAAGAAAGATGAAGGGGTCGACCCTTAACCAATATATCACGTTATCTAGGCAAGAGAAGAGTAGGAGTGAATTGTCACAGGCGACTAAACACCTAACCAAGATATCACCTTATCCAGGTATGAGATAGAAGGCAATAGTGAGATCACATTGGAGTGTCAACTTGTACGTCACATGATCTAATGAAAAAGTGTGGGGGATTGGTTACAGATCCCTGTATTCCACTTGACTGACTCGATATCAGGAATAGCACGATTCGTAGCATCGATGCACGGCGCGAGCCACGAATGACACAGACTGGAAATGGTGCGGTCGATTGCGGACCTTCAGCTCACCTTGCCTTCTTTGAGGACTTAATAATGGGGAATGGGAATGAGATACCTTCATTGATGTCTTTGGCACAAATGTAAACACACATAATAGTAAACACGCACAAGTAGGAATTTCCTTAAACAAGGGCTTTAAATAAACAAGATTTGCCTCAAAGGGACTCCTAGAACATGCATCTCTAGTCCTACTTCTCATGGCAAGGAAAAATATAAATCATACATCTCTATTCCTACTTCTCATGGAATCATAAAGAGGTAAATAATGCAAGAGATAAAAGGAAACATATGAGAATACCAATCGAACGCAAGTTCGTCAATTATCAGACGATAGCAAAAAAACCTGAAATACTTTGAGCTAGCTTCACAAAGAAAGCACAATAGTCAGAAATAATATCCAATGAACATCAAGTGATAAAATAAATCGCGAGCCACAAATGCATCGCATCGTATCAAAGTGCCTGCACAAGATAATACTATACAAGCAAAGCAATATCTAGAAAAAACGCATCACACGGTAAAGTGTCATCCGAAGTTGCACAAAACCACCATATGAGTTAGCTAATAACAATGCAACATCGAGTATCAAATTTCAAATCAAAAGTAACGACGAAATGAAAATGAATGAGGTACAGTTAAGCAATGGAAAGCTGGGATTAAAACTCAGGCATCACTACGCACACAACACAAATGCATCCCAAAAAACACCGAAAATGGCATAACATGACAACAATGGTTCATAAACACCAAAACATGTTCAAGAAAGCCTTAAACGATATTTAAAACATGTATTTACACTTATGTATTAAATCCGGGCAGTAACTCATATAAACTTGAAATCGATCGGTAAAATGCACTGGAAGCAATTAATCGGTAACGGACATGGAATGATTAATTATGTACAAATGAACATCAAATGTCAATTAAAATGGCATGTACATGTGAAATTAAAAATGGGACAGCATCTTTGTATTCATAAAATGCACAAGAAAATGGTTCAGAAAACAACCGAAACGGTACCGATACACATCAACTACCAAGGAAAGCTTCCAAGACTGCTTAGCAACAATTAAAACGCATATTTCACATTATTTCCCAACATCGGACAAAAACTTTTTACTCCTCCAAATTAATCAGAAAATTGAATTTAAATTTCCAAAACTCAACACAATTCGTCCATATAACGCACAAGTAACTCAAATGAACCTCGAACGGTATTTAAAACTCGATTTGCACCTTATTTACAATTTCGAACAACAACTCCTACTTGAACCGAAACCACTTGAAATTGATTTTAGACGTTATAAACAGATACGAAAATTCACTTTTCGGTTCAAGTGTTACCGTCTAAAAATTGTAAACGAGTTACAAACGATCAAATCTTATTGATGCCTTAATTCCGCACATAAATCAACATTCAAACAGTTAACACAAGTGCATCGAATCAAAACATTTTTCCAATACCGAAACTTGAATTTATCAATCAAACAATATAAACTTGCATTAACTTTTGAAAATCAATTTAATTCTCAACATAATTCTTTAATCGACATAAACCAAATACGACGTTAAGGCTCTCAATCAAATAATCAATTCTGAATTTATTCCACAACATCGCATGATTCAATGTAATCAAAAATTCTCAAATAAACACTTTCTCATGAAAACCAATTAACCAAAAAGCTCTTAACTCCACAATTACCCAATTTCGGATTTATTCCACATTATCCTTATCAATTCACAATAAACAATTAAACTCAAGAATTAAACATTGTTCAACTAATGAAATTCAATAAAACTCAAGAAAAAGCATTTATGCACAAAATTGATTATGTAAAAGTACTTAAATCAAGAGGATTAGAAATTACCGCGTCAAAATCGAAGAGGAGAAGTAGGTGGAAGTAGGAATCACGAAATCAAATAGAAGAAGCTGTGAAACAGAGGGGACTAGTGTCACCGGAATCACGAAACGACTGAGAGAGTTGGTGCCGCGACGGAGCGGACGATGAAAGTGTCGTGGCCGCATGGCCGGTGCGACAGAGAGGGGGGAGGAGAGCATAGTGGTTCCAGAGAGAGGGAGAAACCGCGGTGGGGAGAGAGAGAAATATAAGGAGAGAGAGAGAGAGAGATAATTGGAGGGAATTTTGAGATTTTGAACTTTTCTTGAGAGAGAGAGAGAGAGTAGAGAGAAAATTATTTGAGTTTTTTGGGTGAAACTTTACAAATGATTAGAATATTGTGAAAATAGAGAGGCAAAATTGATATATAGTGTGACAATTGGGTCTGATTTTCTTTGGAGTGAATTTGGGCCTTATTCGGATTGCTCAATGCCAGAAACGCACGAATCACAAGGACATCGGTATCTGTGCAAAATTCGGACTCGGACTCAACAACAAAAATGTCGGTGATGAAATTAATGACGCCTTCCAGAAAGAACTGTCTCAATCGGATGAAAGAAGATAAAGTTATGAATTTTGAATGGCGAGAACGTTGGACACTGACTCTGCCATTTTCGGCAATGCCGAATTTTTCATTGATCAATTTGAAAAACGAGCCATCAACCGAAGTTTTTGGAGCTGCATTCGAACTCGAGCCCTTAAGAAAACTTGTAGGTGAAATCATTTGCGAAATTAAGCCGAAAGAATTGCCTTGATACTATAAAAATTGAAGAAATTATGATTTTTACAGTATCAAGAAACGGTGAATTAAAATTTTGATTCAGCATAATAAAATCTCTGGCAATTTGCATTTTCTGGGACTTTCCTCAATGAATCGATCCTCAACCCGAACATACGAAACGAAGATGGCATCAAGATGGATTTTTCTCCAAAATAACCACTCAAAAACATTGCACCAGGTGAAAGTTATGAATTTTCAAACGTCTGAAAAATAACGGTTCAGCACACCGTTTACACCGTATTTCCACTGTACCCTTTCAAAGTATCTGCACGTTCGGAGATCTTCCTTACTGAATCAGCTTCTGAGCCGAACATAAGTAATGAAGAAGACAATAAGACAATTTTAAATCCTAGAGAACCGCTCCAAGACAGTATTCCAATCAGAAGTTATGAATTTTTAAGTGCTCGCGTAACAACGGGCCATCAATTAAATTTAGTACACCGTCTTCAAAGAATTAAAATTCCCGGAGGTCTTTTTCACAAAATTAGCCTTCGATCTGAACACGAGAAATGATAAGAGAATCATGAAGATTTCAATGCTCGAAGAATCAACTGAAAATACCGAATCGGATGGAAGTTACGAATTTCCAAACACCCGAAGAATAAATAACCAGTCATTTAATTTGAATACCATTTCAGGGGAATCAAATTCTTTGGAGACTTTCTGCACATAATTGGCTTGCGATCTGAACAGGTGAAGTGAAGAAGACATTGAGACGGTTCCAATTCCTGAGGAACCAACTCAAAATAGTATCATGATTGTAAGTGGCAAATCTCTAAGCTCAAACCATCAAAAACACTATTTCTGGTTCACACTGTCTCAAATACCCCGAAACACCCAATTTCTCCCCAATTTAGAGTGTGTGGAAGTACATGAGAGCTTGACACGATGATGGCTTGATTGATCACTGGTTTGATATCTTGCGAGACGCGTGAAGAGTGCGTCATGTCTGGGGGGTCTCCAGGAGACGACATTCTGGAGGAGGTGAATTGAGGTGTGGCCTAGGAATAATTTTACCAAGGCCTCACGGTGGGCGCCAATGTTCCAATCTGGAATAAATGTTCAGCCGACTTCCCAGGAGGTTGCTAGAAAGAGCCTATTGGAGTGAGTTTATGAAATTATTTAGGGATTTGGGAGCTACGGCAATGATGTATGTGTCTCAAGATGAATATCTTGCTTATTCCTCTATCAGGAGCCCCTTCATATAGTGAGTATCTTCGCTTCATCAAGAGCCTCAATTAATGAGTGACTCTTGAGTTCCATAACTACATAACCTCTGTCGTCTCCATGATTGAGGATGATTAGTGATGTGTAACACAATAATGAATGCACCGTTAGAGGTTACGGGCTTTAATGAGCCAAGAATGATGATCGGTTACAGGCAAGTGCAACTTGGTTATCTACCCTACCCGGGTCCATGGGTCGTATGACACTCCTTTAGGTGAGTTGCACCTCGGATACCCACACCGTGAGTCGACTACTGATTTATCTTTTTCCCTTATCGATTACACTGCTCGGTTGGGCCTGTCATTTATAAGATGTACAAGAACGAAGAGAGATCAATCCTGGATCTCGAGCATCTTCTAGCGAAGTATGAGCCACATAGAAGAGGTCGAAAAAGTGTCCAACTATTTCAGCGGCCACCCAATAATATCTATTTGCATTTATCAGAGTTACTAATCAAAGACCTCTACGAGTCAATGCGTCAGCTCTATGATGATCACAAGGATTGACCCAAGACACGACATCATGTTACCTTTCACACTCCAGGTGACGAGCAATCTTAGCGTTGATAGGGTCTTGTCCAACTGACTCCTGGTATGTTTAAACAAAACGACTGACACGTTCCCTCCTTTGGAGGGAAACATCTATTTCTGCCTCGGTCAAGACAGAAGGAGACATTGGTCTCTCGACAAGATTTTCTCCCCATCAAATTTCATAGGAAACATGGATTCTAAAGTATTCATGGAGAAGGCTTCACCTGACAAAGATTCTCCAAATGACTCCTCCATCTTTGAATCACCATTCAAAATGATGACTCCTGATTCAAAACCCCCATTGACAGAGGGTAAGGAATGCGACTCAGACTCCATTCCCCTTTTTGAAGATGAAGAAACACTTTTCTCTGAGACACTCTCGAAGATAATATGATACCATTCATCATAATGAATCTGATGGAAAGCGGGAAATGGGGACAAATCGATGGTCAGATTTCATTTGGGGAAGACAACTACACTTAAGTGTACTCGAGTACACATATAGCTGAGTCACGTTACCCCATACATTTCCAGGTCACATATCAAAGAAAAACAGCGAAACATATTTAATGATGGGACTGCATTTAATGCTTGCTTTCACATTAGGCTTTGAAAAAAAAACCAAAATGGCGCATACCAGCCAACGCCTGGATGAAATTACTTTAAGGATGACCACTATTATTTAAAGACTACACCGACATCAAACACGTCCGACGAGTCTTGGGGACAACTGTTCTGTATTGGCCAAAGACCTGGAACCAATGCTTTGCGCCAGCCAGAGGCCCAATAGCACAAGGCTTATTACCCAACTTACTCCACTAGGCCTAAGGTATAAATATTTTTGTAAAGGGTTTTAAATTACACAATGTCAAATCTCAACTTTCATTACCATCTATCTTGAACCCTAAACTGACTTGGGCATTAGAGTGCTGGCCATACATGTATCCCTCCTTAGATATATTGTATCAGAGATAGCAACATTGTTAACGACATCGCCTCAATTTCGATACCTGCAGTTTAAAAAGCAACATGATCGCAACTTTTAATCTACAGTGTCACATCAACGTAGTGTATCAGAAATTCCTTTCCATCACACTTTCCGCAACCATCAATATTTCTAATTTTCAACGAAACAGCCATATTAACGGCTTATCCTACTTAAAGCAGACAATAACACAACTTTAAATAAATAAGAGACACAATATGAGCTATAGTACTAAAATATAAAGAGTTATTATCATAACATATTCTTTCAAAACTCCTCATCACATACTATTGTACCCCAAATTTTTCCCTCTCACTTATCAAGAATTTTCTCACAAGATCTCCTTGGGTCCAAGACTGCACGAGGGTTGATTAGCTCAAGACACCTCCTTAAGCACTGATGACCAAAATTAGGGTTTGAGTTTGCACAAGGATTTTTGAAATTCCAATTCCCCATATGACTTTCATGGATCATTATGGACCCCCAAGATTACTCATGTCAAGTTTCAAGCCTTGGATCACACTTTTACTCAGTCAATTGAGTAGTTGACCTAAAAATCAGCTGTATTGGGGAAAAAGTCAACTATGGCCAATTCACAGTCAAACTTCATAATTTTTTATCCACATCAACATTTTAGACTCATATGTATCATTTGATCAAGTTTGGACCACAACTCTTCAAGGAATTTGATCAAATCTCCAAAAGGGTAAAAATGGTCAAAATTAGGGTTTTGATTGGGAAAGGGCAATTTCTGATTTTTGACCTAACAAATGATCAATTGGTTTAAGTAATGATCTCAAGAGTCCAATTGCATCATTTTGACCTAATGACATGGCTCAAAACATTACTCAAGTTCAAAGGATTGACAGATGAATTTTCAATCAACTGATCAAAAGTCAAATGTATACTGAAAAGTCAAACTTTGAATTTTTGGTCAAATTCAAATGCCAAAGATCACAATTCATCAAAACATGTCAAAATATGAATCTTATTCATCAAGAAATCAAAAATTCAAGATTTCATTTTGAAAAGTCAAAATTTCTAAACTTAGAAATTTTTCAAAGTGTTGAAAATTTCTTATTTTTTCATAACTTTGAACAAACTTTTCACCATGATGAAAGATGATTCAAGAGAAACTTCCAACATAAAAGTTGTAGATCTCCATGAAATCTACAACTTTTCTTCACACAACTTCTTCCAAAAGTGCTTATATCTCAAGTTATAATTTTATGAACATGTGGTCATGAAACAAAACACTTAGTGAAATTTTGCCCTAATTTGGTCAGAATTTTGACCCAACTTCATGGCACTTTTTCATATAGTTCCAAGTGGAATATTCAAAAGCAATTCAAAGATGGATTGTAGAGAACATTACAAGCTTTCGAAAATGTCCCAAAACTCCTTGAGATCATTTTTGAGTAGGGAGAATCAAAGAAATGAAGTTAGGGTTTTATCACTTGAATTACAAGTCATTTCGTGATGAACCAAATTCAAAATTCAAACTATGCTACATAAACACTACTTTGCAGGCCTCAAACTTTTTAGGCACTCCATAATTAATGATTTACACAGCTGTTAGAAGTCTCACTTCAAGCATTCAATGCATGGACATGCTTTATATCCATTTTTGGAAGAAAGGTTACATTGCCATTTTGATAAAGTGACTTTTTGTACAAAATTTGTCCTTGAGCCTTGCACTTGTTCTCTTCTGATCAAGCAAGTCCTGTAACTCATGATAAATGGTTTAGACACTTACAATCACCCAACTCATGCTTGTACCTCCTCTTGAAACTTGTTTCCTTCTTTTCTTCAAAATCAAGTAACCTAGCCAAAAACTAAAAACGTGTACTTCTGATTGTCCAATGCTCTCAAACACTTTTGTTTATACATACGCAAACCTTGGACCACAAATAGATGAAGGCTCATGCCCTGAAAACACCTAGAACTCATAAACACATTGCATACTTCCATTTTAACCTAAACTGACCAAAAACTTGAAACTCATAATCTACTCATGCGTTTCTTGGCCTTTTGGTTTCTAAAGCTTCTAAAAATCATATAGAATTGATCCCACACCCTGTTACAGAACTGTACCACCATTAACATCATACTCCATTTTCAAAAACAGAGCTATGCACATTGACTTCTCCAGACCATTTCAGTCATCTATTGCTCAAGCTAATCGTTGCATTAGCCTCCTAGGACCTCAAGGAAGCTAACCTGATCATCACCATCACTTGAAACAAGCTCAAACTCAAAACACGATTTCCAGTTTTGAGGTAAGCTTTCTTAACTTTGAACTCTTCATACAAGCATCATTAATGATTTATGTATGAACAAAACATGTAGATATCATTGCCCTAAAGCTAACCATGTCTATATTTTCCATTAATTTTTCTTGAGCTTAGAGAATTTTAAGACTGAAGTTTCTGATATTTTTAGGGTTCATATTAGGGCCAATAAAATTCATGCTTATCTTTGATCTATAGTTTTAATGCTTTACATTTTTGAAACTGTGAGGAAATTTACTACAAGTTTCATGTTTATAGTTTTCATTTTTGATGTGAAATGAGCAAGTTACAGTTGGTCGGGCTGGAGGTTGAAGATGAAGTAGTCAGGGCGCGTTTTGTATTATATACTTATTGTTTTACTTATGTTAACGGATGTATAGCCACCCCAGTGGTAGAAGCACGTGCCTGTAACCTTTGGGACCTAGGTTCGAGCCACAGTGGTACCCTTTTGATTTTTTCATATTTTTTGCTTCCTGGCTTTTGTTTTTTTGCAGGCGCTTGGCCTCTTTGGGCCTGGATCATTTTTTGTTTTATCTGGCTAACCCCCCATTTCATTTATATGCCCTTGGCCCAATTTTATTTTTATTTTATTATTTTCTTATTATTTTTTTCTTAATTATTTTCATAATATTAAAAAATCATGAAAAATACAAAAAAAAAAATAGATTTTTATTTAATTTAGTTTATTTATTTTTCTCACACAAAAAATTATTTTATTAATCATACTTTATTTATTTTTATTTATTATCTTGTAAATTAAATTAAAACTAGGTTATTAGTTATTTTCTTTTACACCAATTAATATATATCATTTTAATATTAAAAAAACCAAAAATATTTTATAATACTATAAATATTTTCAAGACAAAAATACCAAAAAAAAATATTTTTTCTAAACTTATTTTCTTTAATCAATTAATGAATTAGGGTTTTATTAATTTCGTTTCTTAGTGAATTAGGTTTACTTTTAAGTTTAATTAATTATTTTCTTTAATTAATTATATTAAGACAAAATCCCTTTTCTCTAAAAAATCCAAACAAATATCCATTTACTTCACATTTTGCATTTTTGCACATTGTATTCATTTAATTCCTTGTACATTAATACCAATTCAATATGGTTGTAATAGGCTAATTAAGTTTATATCTTGCAATCCCCATTTACAAATTGTACACCCCCTCCCACAAATGTTGTAATAGCGTAGTAACTTTAAATTCCGCAATTTATCGCTTTTATATACAAATGCTAGTAATTAGGGTTTGTATGGAAAGATTAAAACCAATACTTAGAAAACCTTAACGCAAGACAAAAAAAAGCATGAAAACAATGCACTTGCACACAAGCACCCCTAGGGTTATTCCACTTGGTTGCCTTATACAAAATGGCCATATTACGCATGTAAGGTATCTTAGAAAAAACAAGCAAATACAAGATCATAATCCCTCGATGACGCTATCTAAGTTGCCTTTCAAATGATCTTAGTCCCTAAAAGAGAATGCTAAGATACCTTTCAACATTGATAATCATGGCTATACGATGACACATGCCCGTCCCGTTGACATCCAAAGATAGGGTTACTTACCAAACTAATGGTAAGATAACAATGTCAAAGGAAAAGAAAAATGAACAAAAAAGACTTTTGAGTAGGTAGAATGCTCCTAATTACTTGCACAAATTCAAACAAGACATCCTTTCTATTTTCAAAAACAAACACCTATACTTTCAAACATCTTACAAAATTGAAAATATTTTCAAAAGATCAACATCTTTGTATACATTCTTACGAACAAGAATTATTACAAAGATTGCCTAAACAAATGGCCTCTTTACAAAATACTTTCAAAAACCACACAAAGCACAATTTCAAACAAAAGCAAGTGATCTAGCAAGTAACTAAGAGCCCATGGAAAACCATGGATGAAAAAGGTGTTAATACCTTCCCTTTTCATAATCTACCCCCCGAACTCAAGAAAAAAATCTCAAAGGTCTTTCCTGTGCTTTTTCACCTTTCCTTTTGGATAAAAGAAAAGTCGATGGCGACTCTTGCTAAACCGTAACA